GAATTGAGTTGTGATACAATGACATTTTTATAATACTTAAGAATGAAAGTGTGTTTTAAATTGTGAAAAATTATTTGAAAATTTTGGTTGTTACAAGTTCCTTCAAAATACCACATACCACAATATATACAATGTATGCACACATGAGCCTTTAATTTGATTGGACCGTCTCGCAAGGCCTACAGTACACTTGGACCGCTCTACAGTATCGGTCTTCAGTCCATGACTGGCCTGCCTCCCATGCCTACAACATACAACTGGTCTGCACCTGACCTACAACACACCGATGGCCCGCCTAGGTATCTTGGCTTATTGCAAAGTAGGACCACCTCAGCCCACTACCATATATGTCAACATATAAATTAAACAATCATAAACACATGTAATTACTAGTCTATCAGCGTGCTACCACATACAGGGTCTTATACACTATGCCACAACTGGAAGATCACTAATGAATGCATAGTCATTATTCATTATCTAAGTCTAAACACTTAGCATACCTAGACCATTATAACCATTAATTTTCTCTTCTCCAAGCCTTAATTTTCTCGATATTTAAATATCACGTAATAAGCCATGTCATATGTTTCTGTTCGTTTACTTCCATTAGCCTGTAAAGTCTTCTGTTGACCCACATGTTAACAATAGATGTCGGTTGAGAATTGAAAAAAAAAAAACATAAGTTAGTTGAGATTTTTTAGACAATTAAGTTCGTTGGGTTTCTTGAACAGACAAAACATGATTAGGGTTTTCTGAACGGTTTGGAAACTTTGTTGGGTTTGTAAGTCATTTTACTTTATTTTTATATCTAATCTCTTGGGATTATTTTGAAAAAGGGCTTCCTTTAATTTGTTTCTATGTGTGTTGATTTATTATAGACATAACAAATTAATTTGATAGACTATTATTCCTAACCAAGGCACACTTAATTCCATAATCCCCATTGATTTTCTTCTAGCTTTACGTTTTTCTGATTTGAAATTTGTGTGTGGAGTAGGTGAAATGGTTGTTGCTGGTTAAAGAGACTTATCTTGTCTTTATCATGTACAAATTAAAATCTTATCAAAACACTCCAGTTGTGTACAATTACCACTTTCTCATCTATTTTTTTCTCTAACTTTCTAGGATCGTTGCTCCTAAATGAAGAAGAATACTGAAGATTTGCACCTATTCATTGCATGTGGGTTTTAACATTTTTCTTTTTTCTTTTTTGGTAAAATATAATTTTTTTTATTCCACTTTTTATTTGTTTTTGGTTTCTTGAAGGTGTTTAGGTGAATTAACTTCCTTTTTTTTATATGATATTTGTTTAGTTTTGTGTTTGTTTCGTATGTTGCTTCCTCGACTTCTTTAGTGCACATCAACAACTAGGCTATCTTGGTATGCGGCTGACACTTCTGGTAGTTGACATGAGATGAAACTCCTTTTTCTCTCCTCAACCACAAAAATAAATTTGGGACTCGAAAACTTTTCATGAGTATGTCATCTAACTTCTTCAAAATCACTTCTAAAATTATCATATCTAATGTGTTTACTATTCATCTTACGCATATAAATACTTTACCATGAATATACACACCATAAACATAATATTGTTGACAATATATTATGATTGCCTATGTTAATAATTACCCTTATGTTCAAATTTTGGTAAAAGAACTTTCAATTGCAGTACTTTCGTTCTTTTATGTCTTGGTAAGAGATTAACTAAAACGAGTACTTTGTTTTCATGATTGGCAAGAACATGTGCTTATTAATTATTATCTTAGTGGGATCATATATGCATTTTTCTAACGAGATCAGTTAAAATAGGGTATTTAAAATAATTAAACTGAAAAAGTCAATTATTGCTAAACATGTGGAATTTGTTGTTTCACATGTGAATTGCTAAACTTAAAGTAAATATTTTAAAAATTAAATCCTCTTGGATCCAATAACATCGGAATCAATACTTTATTTTTCACATTTATCAGGTATTTTATTTTTTATAAAGATTTTCACCTACAATTTGTTTTTGGTGTCTATTAGGTTCAGAGGTGGGCGATAGGGCGACCATTCTGGACTTATTTTTTAAAGGGGTTCAATTTTTTTATAAAAATTGTTATATTTAGAAAATAGTACAAAATAATTTTCTTTCAATTATTGAGTTATTATAAAAAACTTGATGAAATTTGTGTATTATAAGGGTTCATTTTTTTTCTCTCGCCCTGAGCCTAAAATATGTTTTGGAATGGCCCTGATGTCTATTCTAAAATGTGTGATTTAATACATAATGCTTATCGATAGTTGTTAGCATCAAAAGTATTAAAGAAACAATCATGGACATACATGGTGGTACCATAAAAAAAGGTATAATACATGGTCTCAAAGACATGAGGAACCAAAATTTGCAATCGATGATCAAGAACAAGGGACATACGTTTATTTGGATTTCATATCAACAATGATGAGATGCAATCACTAAAACGATAATGAAAATAGATTTTATAATAGCAATAAAAACACAATTGGTAACAAACGTTTTGCCTATGATCATTAGAATGATCTAGAGAAGAAGATGCAGGAGGATATGATCGATGGGTGGTACTTTAGGTATGTTGTTGCATTGATGATATATAGGATTTTTTGTTTGGTTAAAAAAGGGTAAAAAGGTAAACTGTTTTTCATTATCAATAATTAAGCATTACTTTTAATCATTGAATTTAGTTTAAGTTATATAACAGAGGCAAATAAAGTACTTCAACTTTGTTAATCATTGAATTTATTAACCCATAATGGCAGCATGTAATCATTTCTTTATTTATTATTGCACTATACCTTATTTTTCCACCTATAATAGCAACATACTTTATTTGTTACATATTAATATTACCAATAATGAACTGTACATGTGTTACTTTTGTAAGTAAAGAATGTAAGTATGTTGCCATTATGTGTAGATAAAATGCAAGTATGTTGAGTAAATAAAAGTATCTTGATGGGTAAAAATAAAGTACAAAAATGCAAGTATGTTGAGTAAATAAAAGTATCTTGATGGGTAAAAATAAAGTACAACGACTAAAACTAAATTGGTAAAAAGACTAAACTACATTGTTGTTTCTTGCAATTTTCCTTCTTACATAGATCTTATCAATATAATAATATATCTTAATGTTGTCTCTTTTATTTTGTATGTAAATGATTATAGATGGAAAGAACTGTTTTTTAAATTTTAATGCTAAAATTTAGTGGTGGTAAGGAATAATTGTTGGAATGTCTATGTTTGTTTGGATATTGGAAAGAAACAAGTGTTCTTTGACATGCTCTCCTTTATTTGTGGTTTAGACTTTGAACAATTGCTACTGGAATTTTAATGCTCTTGTTCTTTGGTGGTTAGAAAATTTGGATTTATTTATCCTAGGCTTGTAGTATTGAATTTGTTATTTATTAAGTTCCTGTTTAATGTAAATGTAAATTAGGGATGCCAACGGGGGTAAACGGGACGGGGAGTGCATCTCCCGCCCCCGCCCCCGAAATTTCCCCGTTCCCCCGCCCCGCCCCAGAACGTTCAGCCTTCCTACCCCCGCCCCCGAATCCCCTTTATTACCCCCGCCCCCGCCCCCGTTCCTCCGATTGATTTTGGGCTACTTTTTTTTTGCTAAAAGAAGTTGTTATTTAGGTTAAAAGAAACTATTTTTTAAATAACAAATAATTATTTATAGCAAAATTTTATATGTTAAAAATAAAAATAAAATAAAAAAAAGTTATGGCATTTTTAAAAATTATGCTAACAACTTAAAACATGTTTTTTGATGAATTTTAGAAGCTCAAAATCATGTTATTGTTTATTATATTTATATATTTAATATATGTAAATATATGTATAATTTATTGACGGGGTCCCCATAGGGATTTCGGGACGGGATTTCCTACCCCCACCCCCGCCCCCGAAATTAAAACGGGGGTTAAACTTGCACCCGCCCCCGTCCCTACCCCCGATTTTTTTTAAAAAAATTCTCCAAACGGAACGGAACCCCCACGGGAACGGGGTCCCACGGGACTTTTTGACATCCCTAATGTAAATCCTTCCTAATAAATAAACATCTTTTTGTCACATGTCATTCTTTCATGCATTATGCAACATGTCATTTTGTCATAATTTAAAAATATTTATTTTTCATTTATCATTTATTCCATTAATTTAGTTTCCATAAATGAAACATAGTATAATGATTATTAATTTCAAATTTCATATTTCAAACTTCAATTTCAATTTTAAATAAATTTATAGTTTAAACCTTGGTATTTAATATTTTGTTATAAATGGCACGTTTAATACACGGGTCAGACAATAAACATAATTTTAATTTTTTTTGTATGTTTTTTTTTTCATAATTTTTACTTATTTCAGATTTCAAATTCCAATAAACTTCCCGTTTAATCATTCGTATTTAACATTTTGTTTTAATCAACCAGTATAATATACGGGTTTCACAACTAGTATTAATTAAATAGCATGTATTTGGCACAATTTCTATAATTTCCAAAAGTACTATAAATGTTATCTTCTCATGATTCTTAAAAAATTGTTCTGGTTTTAGCATTATACTTTTTGATTGATTCTCGTGTAAGGATAAATTTGATAGTTCAACCGATACAACATCATTCATACGTCCATTCTTTTAACTAAAATTTAAGAAGAAACCGTTAGCACGGCCCGTTTGACTTCTCTAGTATAATAACATAATAATAATAACTTGATTTTGTTGTAATATACTTTTCTAACGGGCTAAATAACATAATTATTATATTTAATAAAAAACCATGTTAAATTAGATGAACACATGTGATATATACGATTTCTTAAATTCATTTATTTTAAAAGCAAACTATTATTGCGAATGACAACACATAATTTATCGTTTATATCGAAGTAATTATTAAAATATTCCTTTTGTCTTATTAAACATGAGTTATATAAATAAGATCGTAAAATTGTGAGATGATATGCAATTTATTATACATAACAAAACAACCATGACCGTGGTAGGAGGAGCGTTCCCATTATCTCTCATCCTCTTCGCCACTATCATTCTCCACCACCACACTGCGGCGCTTCCACTCTCAGTCAACTCACGATGGATCATCGACGATCAAAACGGTGGTGAGAGGGTGAAGTTGTCATGCATCAACTGGGTGAGCCACCTTGAATCGGCGGTCGTGGAAGGGTTGAGCAAACAGCCGGTTGATGTGATCTCGAAGAAAATTTTGGCGATGGGATTCAATTGTGTGAGACTCACGTATCCATTGTTCTTATTTACAAACGATACACTGGCTTCGACGACTGTGAGAAAGTCGCTGACAAAGCTAGGGTTGCCGGCATCCGTCGCCGGAGTTCAAGTCAACAACCCATCCATCGTTGACCTTTCCCTCATCAATGCTTTTGTGGTGAGTTTTTAAGCACTGAAAATGAGGCTTTTGATGAATGAATTTTAAACCATAGGTATCTCGGACCGATTACTATTTCGTTTTCATAACAGTCAATGCATAAAACATGCATCGATTGCTTGTACATTATATATATATATATATATATATATATATATATATATATATATATATATATATATAAAAGCACAACATCATAATTATATGTAAATGTATACAACCTACCAAATAATAATAATAATAAAAGAGAACCAAAAAAAAAAAGATTTATTAAAACATCTAACCTTGTTTTTTTGTTTTTTTTAAACAACAAATTGATATACTTTTTTCTCTGTCAAACTAAAACATCAACACATATTCTTTTTGTTATATAAATTCATGAACATCTAACTTTTTTTTTTTTCGTAAATGATTTATTAATGATTATAACTTTACAAGTCATATTCATTATATGTATGGAGAGAGAGAAAAAAGTTGGTAAGCATAAATCACTACCTATGATCATATGTTAGTTTATTTTGGAACACATACGATGATATAAAATTGAAAACCCATACGAAATGAATAAAGTGGTTTTTAGCTTGAAACTTGTATCATATACGTCATTTTCGATTTGAATTTGTTCAAATGTATATACAAACTAAAAAACAAGGTAGGAATGAGCAAAGTTGCCATGATTAAGATCTTAAATAAGAACGAATTATATTTTACAAGATTGTAATCATAAAATTAAATCAGATGAGAATTACCAAATGAACTAGTCTCATCATTTTTATTTCAGTGATTTGTTTGTGGAGTATTTTAAGTTATTAAAACATTAATGTTTGAATTAACTTTAACTTCTTAAATATGAATCATACTTTTTGTTGTATGAAACCCAAAAAAATAGGATGAAAACATCTTAAACGTAAACTGAAACAAGATTATTGTGTTTATGTACAATTAAAGGAATATGATCAAAAAGGGAATAACGTAAGTGTCTTCATGTTTGACCTAATTTAAGATCAAATGGATTCAATTTTGATGTTCTAAAGGACATCTTGTGACCTACTCCATTTTAAGTTAAGGATTTTGAGGATCAATTATATATTAAAAATTTAGGATTAGATGGTATTAAGATCATATAGGATCCTAAGGTCCCAATATATATCTTATGATAGATTTTAATATAATTTTTTTTTTAGTCTTATAAGATCTTAAAATAAAATCTGGATCATAATAAATATGGGAATGGATAATCTTTTTGTTTCCTTCCAAAATTTGATCAAGAATTGATTTGTTTCTTATATAACAAAAACATTTATTTTCTTGGATTTTAAATGAACTATTTGCTTTTTATGTTTTAAATTGGTAAACACCTAAAGAAAAATAAATTTTAAATAAAAACTTATAAAAAAATCCTATTTTTCCAAAAAGGAAAACAATTTAAAAATAGTTGTTTTCATTTAATGTACGATGTAGAAAACTACAAAAGGTAAGTATAGTTGTATACGAACATTTTGTCTAAAAAGTAAAATACAACTAATATTACTTTCTTTTTGTTTGTATACTTGTATCTAAAAATTATAATATTGTGTTTGACTCACGCAAATTAAACGCACATAAAACGCACATTAAACGTTTAACATATTAGAACTCAGTTACAATAGTACAACAAGTGAAGAGACAAACAAACAACAAGTTGTGCTGTTAAGTTTTTTTATATGGTAATATCAATTTTTTTTAAAAAAACTACATCTATAGATTTAGGAAAAAATAACTAATCTATAAAAAATAATAATCATAATTTAATAAAAGTATGCTTGATATTGGTCCCTTTTTATTCCAATGTGAATTATTAAAATCAAATACGTTGATCATAAATTATGATAAATTGACAGTCATTCAAATTTCTGATATACATTCAATCTATGAATCTTTATAAAAACAGAAAGTGGTTTCAAACCTCAACAAGAACAACATTATGATAATATTAGACAATCACATAAGCAAACCTGGATGGTGTTGTAATGATAATGATGGTAATGGCTTCTTCGGCGACCTCTACTTTGACCCTGAAGTGTGGGTCAAAGGTATTAAACGAGTTGCCACCATTTTTAAAGGGTATACCAATGTGGTCGGTATGAGCTTGAGGAATGAACTTCGTGGGTATAGACAAAACATCGAAACATGGTACAGGTACGTGTATTAATAGAAAAATGTGTTTAGTCTAGAGTAATATACATAAAAACACAAATGAACAAATAATAAAGAAGTGAAACATGTTTTCATTGTATTGTCGATTTGACCGTTGAATCATTATCTTTTTACAGTTATGCAATTACTAAATGTCAAAATGGGAAAGTTATTTTGGGGTTTTGTATTTTTGTTTTTTTTTCCCTTCATATTGAGACCGGGTTACCGGGGAAAAAATTTTACTTGGTAAAAGAATATAAAATTTTTTCTCACTTTCAAAACTAGGTAAGTAACTAAAGCCATAAAATAATTAGCAGAAGCATTTTTTGTATTTTTCCCTTATCAATACATTTCATAAGTGACTAAAATGAATAAAAAATAAAAATAAAAACATTTTTTCCCTTTATAATATTGTATTAATACATTTCATAAGTGACTAAAGCCATAAGTAGAATGATTTTTGTATTTTCCATTTATAATATTGTATCGATACATTTCATAATGCACAAACTCGACTCATTTAGTGTTTTTTCTTACCTGAATAAGGTACATGCAAAAAGGTGCGGAAGGGGTACATTCAGCAAACCCTAATGTATTAGTCATTCTCTCGGGTCTAAGCTATGACCAAGACTTATCCTTTCTTCGTGACCAACATGTAACCTTATCATTTACTAAAAAATTGGTTTTTGAGGTTCATTGGTATGGTTTTTCAGACGGTGATGATTGGATTACTGGTAACGCAAACCAAGTATGTGGTCGAATCACCGACAAAATGACAAATCAAGCAGGGTTTTTACTAGACCAGGGTCACCCTTTGTTTGTAAGTGAGTGGGGTGTGGATCAAACTGGCACAAATGAGAATGATAATAGGTATTTGAATTGTTTCTTAGGTTGGGTGGCTGAACTTGACCTTGATTGGGCATTATGGACTCTTGTTGGGAGTTACTATTTAAGGGAGGGTGTGGTTGGAATGGAGGAGCTTTATGGTGTTTTGGATTCAAATTGGTATGAACCGAGAAATTTAAGTTTCTTGAAGAAAATTTCACCTATTCAATCTTCGTTTCAAGGTATTAAAAATTTTCTTGTATTTTTTAAACTCGATACAACTTAAAAAAAATAAAAATAAATAAATAAATATATAAACTATTATTTTCTATGAAAGAGAACCGCTAATTGTACATAGAAATATCATAATATTTTATTCTCACTACTAACATGGACAATTTACTTTATGTTTTACCAAGAATAACAAATATATTTTTTTACTCGTGATAACAACATACTTACATTCTTATAACCAACTTGTAATCTTACCTAAAAATTAATGTATTTACTATCAATTTATGCAATGTACTTATTTGCAACATATTGTTATCATCGTTAAACAAATTAAGTTATGTTTACATGTTAATTATTTTTTGAAAGTTTCAAGTTGCATACTGCTTTCATTGGTAAAAATATAAGTTCAATTTTATTATAGAGAGATACAATGTAAACATGCTCATTGCTATTATTGGTAAAAATAAAATCTATTGTATATAAAAGACTAAAATAATGTTGTTTTTAGCAACTTGTGAAAACATATTTCTCGTGTATATTTTACTTCAATGATATTAAGATGCAAATACTTTTGACAATTAAAAAGGACAATTGTCGAATATAACAACATACACATGTTAACTTAGCTATCACTACAACTACAGGCATTATACTTTATGTGTTACCCATAAGGAATCTCTCTCTCTCTCTCTCTCTCTCTCTCTCTCTCTCTATATATATATATATATATATATATATATATATATATATATATATATATATATATATATATATATATATATATGTGGCTAAGTGAATATACTTTTAAAAGTATATAAGCTTAAATACTAAAATTCACCATACTATATCGTTTTGTATCATATATGTATTGTAATCATCTAAAGTTCTTAAAATTTAACTCCTAATTAGATTTACTTTCAAGATTTTTATAAATTTTACCATTATTTTCCTATTACATAATTTTCATTTTCAATTATAATATATATATATATATATATATATATATATATATATATATATATATATATATATATATATAAACACGTTATAAATCTAGTAATATTTTTTGTTAGAAAGGTAAAAAGTTTTTTTTGTTGCATATTTTTTTGACCAACATAACAAATGAATCAAAAATAACATGATTCACCAAAAAAAATCCTAAAAAAAAAAAGCTCGATGACGATTTTTACGATGATTTTGTTGATATTCATTAAAATTATCATAAAGTGAATTTGTTCTTGATTTACTTAATAATGAATAATGATATTGTTTTTTCTGGAAAGTTTTTTCTTGTGAATAATCTTTAGTTTTGAATCTTCTAATAATTCATTTTGTTTGTTTACTTAAAAAATATGTATATAAAAAATTTCTTGCTTTCCTTCCAAAATTTTCCTTTATATATATATATATATATATATATATATATATAATATATATATATATATATATATATATATATATATATATATATATATATATATATATATATATATATGTGTGTGTGTGTACTTAAAATAGCCATGTAATGTCTTTTTTTACCAATGACACTGGTGTACATATATTCTTATGCATAATAGCAACATAATTATGATTTTGTTATCCAAAATAGAAACATAATTAAAATTTGGAAACACTATGAGAAATAGACTTAGTTTATTACAATTTCTAATTATCAAAACTTTAATTTGATTATATTAGATGTACGATGTAAAGTATGTGTCCAAAAATGCACGTGCATTATTGTTTGTTTTTGTTAAAAACAATATCATATTAATATATTATACAAGTTTATATAATATGTAAGCATTTTTTAATTTTATAAATAAATGTAAGTATATTGTTCTTATTTGTAAAAACGAAATTAAACAGTCTCCGGTAGAAAGACCAAAATACTCCTTTTTTTCAATTTGCTCAAATAAAAAAAACAATACCTAAATTGACGTAGAGGCACATAAAATAAACTACTAAATGAGATACTCAAATATGACATTTTTACTTCAACTTGTGACTTTTTTGAATTGCAGCACCTGATGGTTTATTAGGCGTCGAACAACATAAAATCATCTTCCATCCATGTACTGGGCTTTGTATACAAACCCACTCTATGAAGTTGGGTCCGTGTTCCAATGCACAGGCATGGGAGTACACCCTACAAAACATGTTGATTGTGAAGGGTACAAATTATTGCCTACAAGCAAATGGTGTGGATATGCAAGTGAAATTAGGCATAATGTGTACAAATATCTCTTCAAAATGGGAGGCCATTTCAGCCTCTAAAATGCACCTTTCATCAAAGATTAATAATGGGATTATGGTTTGTCTTGATATAGACTATGAAAACACGATTGTTACTAACAATTGTAAATGCTTAAACAACGACAAATTGTGTGATCCTGCATCCCAATGGTTCAAAGTCATCAACAGCACAAGTGTAGAAGTTGCAAAATCAATCATTTTATCAGATTCTATGTTGGATTATTCAATGTGATCTTTTAGAAAATTCTTGACGATGAGAAGATAGAGATTATTGATCAACTTTGATAAAAAAAAATACTTATTTTTATATGTTGAGATTTTAATGTAAACAGGGCGTGACTAGTATATCATAAGGTGGGTCCTTTGATCCACCCAATTTTCCAACAATTACAAGTTGTATACCAAAAATTAGGACCTACCTTAAAAAAATTCAAGGGACAACCTTGTGTTAGACAACAAAGGAAGAAAATATGCTTTAATTAAAAGAATAAGGTATATGTTTGAAAAACTCCTTTGATTTAGAAGCATATATTTACCACCTATAGTTAGTCCCAAATCTAAGCAGTACCATTCTACTTTGTGTCACAATGTAACAATATGATTTTTCAAACCAAAATTTTTCATTTTTAATATTAATAAAAACACATGTCTCAACATTAATTACCAAAAACCCAATACAAGTTTTCAAAATAATTGTTCAAATCCAGGATCCGCAAACATAACTCCAAATCCCGAGTGTGTGTACAATCATGCCGGTGCCTTCCCGCAATCCTCCGGGGTACCTGAAACACATAACACGGTAAGCACGAATTCTTAGTGAGTTCCCTAAAATATCACATACTACAATTCACCACTCGAGGCTATATTCTGTACGACCCTCTGGTCAGTGTGTCTCAGCAGGACCCTCTAGTCCCATAGCTCGTTGGACCTTCTGGTCCGGTCTGGTTGAGCCTTCTGGCCTCATAAATCGTTCGACCCTCTGGTCCGGTCAGAATGGCACATAGCATATATAATCACAATACACATAATCTCAAACAAGCACATATGACCTTTCGGTTCACGTAGAGATACCACCCTAGGTAATGTATAGTGAGAAGACTCACCTCAGTAAACTCGAATGATCTCGAACTCAAAACATTGATCTAGCCTCCGCCTAATCATACACAGAAATTATCTCTAATTAATAATGGCTCTCAAAGGTTGGACTAATCCCTCATATGTTCTCTCAGAAGGGTAAAAGACCATTCTACCCCTCTAATGGTCCAAAAGTCCACTTATTAACTAAACCCTAAAAGTCAATGAAAGTCAACCCTAAGGAGTACACGACGCGTACTTGATCCCTACATTTGGCGTACTCGACCACTGTGCAGATAACGGGCTGATTTCACCCTATGCCCCGCATACTGGGATTTACGCTCAACGTACGTCCCAGTTTCACTATTAACTCACTTATGGTCTTAATCAGTTAAGACCTTGGCTTAAAATACAGATTTGGACCCCCTACAGCCTCCTAATCCATAAAGTCGAGGACTTTACGCCTTTGCATGGCTGTAAAGATCACCATCAACCAAAACACACCACTTTCTTCACTCAAGAACACATATCTCATGCATGGCTCACTCCTAACGTCCAAGATCGGATTTTTATGGATTAATAACACTTCATACACTGAATAAGGACAAATCAAGATCTATGGAGCTCCCTTTGCTCATAAAATCTCCACCTTTGGGACAAAAACCCTAGAAATGACCCATAATGCACAAATCAAAAAGATTGAGAAAGCTTTGAGCTTTTTACCTCCAACTGATGCTCCAACCTCTACAAAGCTTAGATCCAAGGCTTGCACTCCAACTCTAGATTCTCTAATGACACCTTCTTCTCTTCAAAGGCACACAAGAACACTATCAAGCTTAAACACACACAAGGTCTAGAACGAGGGTTTGGAACACTTAGGGCTTTGGTCTCTGGAAATGGTGGCTAAAAGTGAGGCCAAAACGTTTCTTATATAGAGCTCACCCCCATAATTAGGGTTTCCATATGGACCTAGTACGCCTAGCGTACACTATGTTACGCCCAGGGTACCGGGTAGACTCCACGTCAAGAACACGCTCACGAGTACGCGCAGCGTACTCTCCCTTACGCCCAACATACTCAAAAGTCGCACTTTTCTTTCAAGGACTAATTTTGAAAACTTGGGGAAAGAAAAGGATCAAAGGAATATACTTGAATTTCGGGATGTTAGAACTCTCCCTCACTAGAATCAGAATTCACCTTCGAAGTCTTGCTCCGCAAATAACTCAGGGTACTGCTCCCGCATCTACGGCTCTAGTTCCCAAGTTAAATTAGACCCCATCCGGTGCTGTCGCTGGACCTGAACCAGAGGCACTTCCTTGTTCCTCAGAACCTTCACCTTCCGATCTAGGATCACGATCGGTCTCTCGATGTAATTCAGGTTCGCATCCACCTGAATGTCCTCTAATGGTACTACCGTCGTCTCATCAGCCACACACTTCTGCAACTGGGACACGTGGAAGGTGTTATGGATCTGGATCAACTCCTCAGGCAGCTCCAGCTAATATGCTACCTTGCCAACCCTGGCAATCACCCTAAAAGGTCCAATATATTGAGGCCCCAACTTTCAGAAGCACAAAGACTCCAACCTAGAACTCGAGCTCGAATCGTCGTCTGTCCGCGTAACTCTTCTGACGACTCTGAGCTATTTGCAACCTCTGTCTGACCTGTTGAATCTGCTCAGTCGCCTTCAACACAATCTCAGTGCCACCCATAACTCTCTATCCTACCTTACCCCAGTAGATGGGAGTACGACACCTCCTCCCATAAAGAAGCTCAAAGGGAGGCATACCAATGCTCGAGTGGTGGCTATTGTTATAGGAAAACTCAGCCAAAGGTAGGTATAAGTCCCAACTCCCACAGAAATCCATAACGCATGTCCGAAGCAAGTCCTCGAGTGTCTGAATCGTTTGTTCACTCTGCCCGTCTGTCTGCGGGTGGTAGGCGGTACTAAAATGCAATCACGTTCCCAACTCCTCATGGAACTTCTTCTAGAATCTAGAAGTAAAACACACATTCCGATCCGAAACTATGGATTTCAGCAATCCATGTCGGGCTACTGTCACACCCCAAAACCAAGAATGGCGGAAACGTTCTGGGGCGGAGGACGTCATGTACAGTATCACAACAATGAAAAGCAGTAAACAAGCAACAACATCATCCATTGCATTAATAATAGAATTATTATACAAGTGTGTTCTGTCAAATTTTGATAAACACTAAAGCATAAATCAAAATGAAAGATGAGTCTTGAACAAGCTCCATCTTCCTTTCTCCTTGCATCGATACCTGTCTATGATGACCTGAGGATACAAGTAATTTTGAAAGTGAGTATTAGCTTTAAAGCTGGTGAGATCATAAGTATTTAGTGTCTTAATTTGTATATAAGTATTTGTATGTAAGAATTTGTATATGAATTGTGAGTATGAATAGGTTTGTAAAACAACTGTAGACGTTTGAAAAACCCTAGAAATCCCTATGATTCCTATTAGTAATAAAAGGAGTCTTCTACCAAGACTTAACTGTTCTCAATGTAGTCTTCTATCAAGACCTAACTATTCTGAATGTAGTCTTCTACCAAGACCTAACTGTTCTGAATGTAGTCTTCTACCATGACCAATCTACATTAGTATTACCCTTTGGAACAAGGGAAACTAACAATGTTAACTGAAGACATCCGTAGATGTACATTTACCTCTGTTGCTAACAACTGGGTATAGGAATAGTCAGTCCCCAAAAGTATACTTGTAATGGTATCAACCGTTGACATCCGTGGATGTGTTTTTACCTCTGTAGCTAACAGAGATTCTAGGAATGGTCAGTCCCGCAATGTATCCTTGGGTACTAGGATATTGATCCCAATCTATCTCGTCGATTGTGTGATTGAATCACAAGGTAAAGATAAGAATGAGGATTATATAACAGAATCTGTACATATAACATGTACTAGTAATTCCTGTAAGTGTACTCATGTACATGTGATCATGTAAACATATCTATGTAAGAGTATAGTATTGTACTGTAATGTTCCACGTGTGATAGCTGTAAGGTGTGATCTCTCTCTATCTAGCATGTATAGTAATGTACTTGTTCTAGTATCGTTGTATATGTTCTTCTCTAGTATAGTTGTATATGTTCTCCTCTAGTATAGTTGTATATGTTCTTCTCTAGTATAGTTGTATATGTTCTTCTCTAGTATAGTTGTATATGTTCTTCTCTAGAACAGTTGTATATGTTCTTCTCTAGTATTGTTGTATATGTTCTCATAGTAGTGAGTATTGACTCATGAATGAACTGACTCATAGTATGATATTGTGTTCTAGTAATAGTTCTAGTATCTTCCTAAACTACCCATATGGTAGCTTACTAGTAATATAACTGGTACGTATGAACATGGATGTATACCCTTGCTACCCAAGGGCATTGGATGAACTGGAAGGGGCTTTATGACTATAATGCACATATGATACATAACTAATATTTAAACGACCTTCAGACGGGTACCCGATATCCCACCAGACCACATCTCAAGCGCGAAAAGGAAATAGGGTGGATAGCCTTCCTGAGTCTTTTAAACATTACTCATATAAATATACATATATAGGCATGCAATTTATAAGATAAAAGCATAAAGTGAGTTTTGTAAAACCTTTGAACATAATTATTACCTAAGAAAAGATTGACTTGATGTCAATCAATAAAACAGTTTGAAGTAAAACGTTTTGATAACAGCTTGGAGTAAAACAGATCGGAGTAAAATGGTTTGAAATAGGATCATACAGTGTGTAATGAACCGTTTAATAAGGATTTTTAAACATATAAAACATTTAAGAAAATCATTTGAGGAACCTGTTTGGTAAGAATGGTTAAAGTGAAGTGAATCATTTGAATGTTGCATATTAATCTCATGTGATTGATATAATAACTAGCATAATTCTACTTATTAATCACTTGTGATTGATACAATAATTAGCATGATTCTACTTGTATCCCCCCCCCCATAAAACATTTAAAAACATTTAAAACATTAGTTAAGGGGTATGAACTCACCTGTAGTTAGTGGATCGGAAAGAAGTGTCGGATAAGTGCTTGGTGTCAAGTGAAGACTTAGACACGCACAAAGATCTTAATAACATATAAGGATATATGTATATACTCAATTAGTCTTTAAACAACTAATAAAAAAAGTTAAAACACTCTAATACATGTTAAACACTTTATACAAGTGTTAAAAGTCTCAAGGGTTGCATCTAAGTGATGTAGGGAAAGGCTAGTGTGTTTGGGGTTCAAGGGTAATTCTTAAAATGAGTTTAC